GTAGCTAAAGTTCATGATTAAGGTGACAGAATAGGGGTGTCATATTGTTCGAAGCATGAGGCATTATAGATGTTTTTGTTTTTTTATCAAACAAACATCATGGTTCTATCCGCGTTACATCCTCAGTTGTGGAAAATATAGTATGTGCCAATAATATACTGGACAAGACGTAAGTGAAGTTTTACTACTATCTATAACACGACATTGAGAAAAACATTGAATACCACTAACAGTTTCAAGATGCAGCTTAACTAGAGCACTCTCGGTAAAGTTACACTGCGACATAGCTCTACCGAGTACTTTCACAAAGTCAGTAACAGAGCTTAAATTTAAGGAGACAGTATATGTTTGATCCGTAACAATATTTGGCACACGGATTTTATAATACCGAAATAATCTATTCGGAATATTTCACTTGAAACATTCCCAAGAGTGATGAACAATCTAGGTGTTATAATACAAGCAGTGATTGGTGGGGGTCACAGTGGAAGTAGTTACTGAGAGTAAATTCTCTCTGAGGTAGTGATACAAAATGATACCGGAGTCTACCAAAGGCTTGAGATGCACATCTGATTCAATGTAGAATCTCTTCATCGATGTCCGCAGTAGTAGACAGGTCGGAGCCGAGATACCGAAAGTGGGTAACATTAGATAGGGTAGTACCGTTAAGCTGGATGGATGGTGGAGGTGTGGCTGAACCAGGGGCAGGCTGAAAGAGAATCTGAGTCTTACGTACATTCACCTCAAGGCCGAAGTGTACATACGCATCTGAGGAAGTGTTCAGGATTTCTGTAGGTCGCGTTGAACGTGAGCGACAAGGGTGAGGTCGTCTGCATACTGAAGTTCAGTTATTGAAGCTGCCGACTCCCTGGTTCCTGCCTAAAGTCGTCTTATGTTGAAAAGACCCTTCATCCGGTACTCTATGTCCATCTCGCCAGCTAAATTGGCACTGGCACGAGTAAGGAAGGCAGCCAAGAAAATGGAAAAGAGAGTTGGTGCCAGTACACATCCTTGTTTTACCCCCGTTTGGATGGGAAAAACTCAGACTGGGTGCCACTGTGCAGCACACTGGCGTTCATGCCATCGTGGAGTTGCCTCACAATGGCGATTATTTTTGGTACACACACACACACACACACACACACACACACACACACACACACACACACACACACACACACACACACACACACACACACACACACACACACACACACACACCCACATTTACATGATATATAATATGTTTGGTGAGACTTGAAAATGATAAAAAATCCTAAGGAATCATTACTGATATACTGTATAGCACTCCCATGAGTTTTATGCTCCGTTAATCAAGTCTTTGAATGCCAGTCTTGATTGTTTGAATGACTGAGGACAATTTTCACCAATATTTTACGACAAAATTAATACAGCCCATACACCACACTACTGTCAACGACGTATACAGCATCGATGTAACTGATCACCACGAGTCATATTAGGCACTACAGATAGATTTCTACGTATGTAATACAGCATTCTATTACGTAGGTTGAAATAACACTGGAGAGCACTACCAAGGTAATGAATGAGACCATATCAGGCTTACGATAGAAATATTACCTATCTACTGCTTAAAGGCTGGTGGCAGGTCACACAGAACAAACAGACCCTCCTGCGTCGTATGAGAGGTCACTTTTGTATATATATATACCGTAATGCACGTTATTCATGAAGAGGGGGATAGGCAATGTGGAGTGGGGCTATGAAGAAACTTAGAATGAGTCTGACTTTAACTTAGGTTTTGCATAGAGGTTATGAAAGGGTTTTCGTTTTTCAGAATAAACATTTTAGATTTTCTGTTTATTCTAAAGAGTTTTGAATTATTTTGGACACACTGTATATATATATATATATATATATATATATATATATATATATATATATATATATATATATATATATATATATATATATATATATATATATATATATATATATATATATATATATATATAAGCTTATTGCAGTTTGTTTCATCGCATATTCATATAATTATATACTGTACTGTAACTCTTATTAACGCTCTGAGTCTATACGTAAAAAAAAACTCACGATTCATCGTCGCGAAGTTCACGGACAACAACAGAAACGAAAGTCGACCTCGCAGCAGCATGAATGGCCCCAGAGTGGCGCTACTGTACAGTATATAAGACGCTTCACCAGTCTGTTTCACTAGGTTAACTCTTCTGTACCCGCCATGGTTAGTCTCTCTACTGGTGTAATATTCTTTGACTTAAAGAATATTCTCATAGCAGTCGTCTTTTTTTACGCTGTTCTTTGAGTTTCCTTTACATGATTTTTTTCATTTAGAATTTCAATCATAATAATGTAACAAAGTGTCCACTGCTCGCATGTGGCTAAATTACTGTTATGTTCTTTATCTCTGGGCTCATATGGCTGATACCTTATCTTGCTATTGCATACCTTTAATTAAACTTTACAACTGTGTTAAATGTGATAGTGTAAGTGTTTCTTGTGTTTTATATGTTTATATTTTTTGTTTGGCAGAAGCTGCTGCTGATCACCGTGAGTGCTGCTGCCCTCCTGTTGGGGTCCTGTAGAGGAGACGGAGGCCACCATGGAGGTGGCTCTTCAGGTGGATTCAACACTTTCTCCAGAGGAGGAGGTTTAGGAGGATTTTCCGGTGGAGGAATCTCCAGTGGACGCTATGGAGGAAGTTTAGGTCGAGGATTTGGGGGTCAGGGTGGTCTCGGCGGCGGCTCTATCATCCACGCACAGTCTAGCTTCCCCAGCGGAGGTAGAGGTTTCTCCAGTGGAGCTGGCTTCTACGGCGGTGGCTCACACAGAGGTTTCTCCAGTGGAGGTAGCAGCTTCGGTGGTGGTTCACACGGTTTCTCCAGTGGAGGCAATGGCTTCGGCTCCTTCGGCGGCAGTCTCGGAGGATCCCACGGAGGTCGTGGTGGTGCGTCCTCCGGGAGATTCGTTGGATCCTCAATTGGTGGTAGAAACTTTGGTAGCCGTTCTTATGGCTATGGAAAATAAGCGATGTTTACCTAAGAAAGTTAAGAACTACCAAAATAAAAACAGGATGGCTGCCAAAATTACATGAAATCATTTTATAAATTCCTGGTATGTCGACCATGAATAAATCTTTAACTGAAACTAATGGATGATTTGTTACCCCAAGTTATACAATTGTTCTTTATGGTGTTTCTAAAACACTTTTTTCTATGAGTGAACAAGTACAAGTTACCCGAGTTCCACTTGATGTAAGTAACAACCAAATTTTATCCAAATTGGTCAATATTTAGGGAGTTGCACAATATGTAAGCTTTTCTACCGATGCCTACTGTAAAATGGCCAAATTACACCCATTTCCCTCATTGGTAACCGAAGAGGATACTGAAGAACTTCTGGGAGTTTCTGCTACTACTGACGGCACTGGGGAACAGGTAACTGTAACTGTCATGAAGGGAGTCAGAGGAGGTGGAGTGGAACCAAGAACTAGTGGCATGGGATTCGATACAACAGCACCGAATACTGGGATGATACAGAGCGTCTGTATTCGATTTGAGGAAAAGCTAGGGAGGCCGCTGCTTTGGCAATTCTTAAAGATTCCTTCAACCTTAGCTATGGAGCTTCGTCAGGACCTGATATTAGCCTCTTCAAAGAGTAAAAAAAAATCACTGGCCATTAATTGATCAGTCCAAGTACGACAATGCCGAACAAGATCCCAGCCTTGTTGAACTATTTGTTTCTGATCAATATTTTAAACTCAAAAGAGGACGATGATGTCATTCCTCAGCAATGTCCTTCAGAACGGAAATCATCCCCGTGAGAATTATGAGGAGCTTTTGATACTCTGCTACATTTTCATTAGGGGGACTTTTCCTAAAGTATCTTTTCGGCCATCTGGTCTGTGAAAGTCAAAGGGAGAGACATTGATGTTGATGAGTTTCCCTTCCACCCTCTTTAATCCCTTTTTAGGCTTTGAATGACTCTGGTTTTGCACCATGGCTCGCTTCGGAAGCCTGTTCGGAAAGATACCAGAGATGCCATTTGATTGATCTCTCGACTACTGCAACAAATGTCCCAATCAGGATATTCTTGGAAATATCGAAAGAAATCTAAGTAAGTCTTTGGAGCCCACTGTGAACGATGGTGAATTTCTGTGTTGTTCTGAATAAGAAATTGAGTAATCTTTGACCTGCCTCGAGTTCATCCTCTGGGTTCATGTGAAAGCCATCATTTATTCCAATTCGGTGAACACTTGTTATCACTGAAGCTAAATAATAAAATATTCTCCAGAAGATCATCACCTGAGTTTGGCATTGTTTTAAAGCAAATTTAATCGCTTTCTCTTGTGCTTCATAAACCAATAATTATTATAATCATGGACAACGATAAACTTTGAGCAAATAAGGTTAGTTTGAATGGATAAGGTTAGGTTTTCAGATTCTTCATCAAGGAAAACAAAAGACAGTTTTCTAGCAAAGGTTTCAACAACTAGTGATTCATATCTGGAACAACATGTGTTGAGAAATGTGTTTCATCTGTGTTTCTTACAGTTTTAGGAGTTGTTTATATCTGAAACTGTTATGTCCTCTTAAGACAAGTTTCACCTCCACTTATATTCTTGTCTTTTCAATTGAAAAAAAAATGAAAGACATAAATTTATTAGATTGATATATGCGCGCACACACACACACATACACACACACATACACACACACACACACACACACACACACACACACACACACACACACACACACACACACACATACACACACACACACACACACACATACACACACACACACACACACACACACACACACATACACACACACACACACACACACACACACACACACACATACACACACACACACACACACACACACACACACACACACACACACACACACACACACACACACACACACATCATTTCATTAAAACATTAAAAGGGAAATAAATTATGGTATGGCTTGTTTGTCTAATATTTTATTATAGTTGCTGGTCAACAAGTATTGATGAATAATTTTGTTTTTCGAGATGATTTAGTGTCATTATCTCTGGAGTTACTACTTCCCGTAACTATTTCTGCCATGGCGACTGAAAGAGCCACCGCCGATGGAGCCACCACCGAAGGAGCTGCCACCGTGGGAGCCACCACCGAAGGAGCTGCCACCGTGGGAGCCACCACCGAAGGAGCCGCCACCCAAGGAGTTGCCACCGAAGGAGCCGCCATAACCACCACCACCACCACCACCACCAGTTGATGAACCAACGAAGCCTCCATTGGCCCGGACGATGGTTGCTCCACCACCACCACGACCACCAGAATATCCCCTACCAGAGCCCTGGAAGGAGCTTCCTGAGGAGCCAAAGCCGCCTCCGATGGACCCTTGGGAGAAACCTCTACTTCCAGAGCCACGGTGGTAGCCACGATCTGCTCTGCACGACCCTACCAGGAGGAGGGCGCTCACGGTGATCATCAGCAGCTTCTTTTGATAAGAAAAAAATAAATATGTTAGACTCTTAACACATTCATCAAACTCTTACATTATAACAATCATGACTGGCACTTTAGAGTCATGCATGAAAGGCATTATGATACTTTATTACAGTATATTTATGCAATATTGCCAACTGAACTAGTCTTACCATCGTATCAGTAGTGATTGACTGGATGTGGTCTGTGACTGCCATGGTGTCGACGTCTTATATACCCAGCCATTCCTCCTCCTCCTCACCTCCAGCCTCACCCGACACAAGGTCATCGTAGTGTTTCTCTCTTGATGACCATGAGTGAAATGCGTCATGATGAGTGTGTGATCATTTTGTTGAAACCTTTAAGGAGGTTTCCTCAGCACAGATCATGATAATTCTTTATATAATACTTCCTCTTCATCCATGACCTATAACATTATATATATATATATATATATATATATATATATATATATATATCATCAGTCCATATGGCACGCAGACATAGTTGGCACGGGCAATCCCAATGGAGGTTCACGGTGCTTAACGAGCACGATGAACACTTGAACAGGCTTTGTGTGGAATATAACAAAGCTTAGGATTGCTTTTTTGACCTTGTGGAGCGGTGGTAGCGATCCCTGTTTACATGCAGAGGTCTAGGGTTCGATTCCCGACTAGTAAGGTATATTATATATAACGATGTAATTATACTATATATGTGCATCCACGATTTCATTGATAATAATTAATACTCTGACTTTTATCTACATATATGTATAATGTGACTTAAAATGCGTATAGATATAACAACATTTTCGGCATCAATATAGCCTAAACACATTTGCCTTCAATTTTGACATTAAAGTTTATTTACCCAACGTAGTGATAGTTCTAAAACATAATAATTTTCTCTGCATTAGTGACATTATTGATTCATCTTCGTATCAAGCTCCTTCAACACCAGTGAGTTCAGTTAAATATAAACTTTTGACTGAAAATTAATAACACTTCATATTGTTTGCACTTTTTCAAATTTATATTCGAAATATAATTGCATTTAATTTTGGCTGGAAAAAAACAAACAATGAGTAACACCGTCACGCATTTTAGGTATAATTACAACATAGCAATAATGAAATATATCTTATTTTGGAGAAGTTTTGAAGTGGTCTCTACCGAGGGACTAACGGGTAAATTAATATAATGACAAACATAAATGACTAACCTTATTTAACCTCACCTTAAGTATACGTTAATCTTGTTTAGATAGGGAAGGGCGTCTTAAGTCATATAGAGTCACTTGCAAGATATGTGCATTATTTTTAAGGGAATTTAACAATATTTAGAGATTATTCCTTGGTCACAAAACAGTTCGTTGGCTCATATAAAGTATTAGACAATCATTCATAAAAAGTGTGAGAGAATTAATATTATTCACATAAAGAAACAAAACCTGGAATATACATAAAACACAAAGATTTTTTTTTTTAAATAAAACATCAGAGAAATAAACAGGTTTCGTAGGAGGAAAAGTTGAGTCGCCAAGGCCAGAGTGAGCAGACCAAAGCAGGAGTCTTCTTCCTGGGATGCACTGACACTAAAACAGGTGTGGGTGTGTTACGGGGTTAAAGGGGGATAGAAACTGTATTAAATGGTTGTTATACAGTGAAGTTACATGATTACAGATAAACTAAGATTTACACTCGCTGTTTTGTCTCTTTGGAAAAAATGAACTATATAAACTTTGCGTCATCACTTAAAGTGGACACTTAGCTTACAAGCACTCAGTAGTATATGAAATAATATTATTCAGCTTGACTGTGTCTATGGAAGGTTGTTCCATCATGACGTCGTCAGGTTTTTTATTTAATCTTCCTTACCCGACCACAAGGAGCTACCAATATTATTAACAGGTGTGGGTACCTCATCACTTATTAGGAGCAGTGTTGTTCTACATTCAACATCTGTCAAGAAGAGAAAGTAAACGAGTATCTGTGTTAATGTGTATCTTCGCGTATATTTGGGTGCGTACCGTCAACAAGCGGATGTTATGATGGGTGAGGGTAGTGATAAGAGAGGCGAAGCAGATAGCATGCAAGGCGTCTTCACCTGATACCATGGTAAGACTTCTGGTGCTTCGGACATGAAAGTCATATGAATAAAATACATGATAATGCCTCTCCTATATGATAGGGAATCGTTGGGTGTGTGGATGTACTCGCTGAGAGGCGTAGATTTATGTAGAACTTATATACTTTCTTGTAGTAAACTTGGGTCTCGCCCCAGGACAGAGTAAACAACATAGGCAGGAATCAAATTAATTACAGTTTAATTCTGGAAATAATAAAAAATTCAATAACCCGAACCAAGACCTATCCAGGGGCAGGTTGTGGGTCAGACCACGTCCCAGTAATGAGTTTATTGAGGCTAAGACTTTAAAAAAAATATACGAAAACTATGGACAAAATTAAATATGATTTAGGTAAACTTAAAACAGAGGCAGGGACAGAATTTGAAATTGAAAACAAATCGATTTTCAGTATTGCTAGAGGATGACTTTGATGAACAAGGACCAGGACAACACTTTAATAATTACAAATAATTAATGTTAGAGACTAGGGAAAAACTTAAAGGACATAGGAGGAATGAGACTAAAAGTAAGTGGATGAAAAATTAATTAAGATAACGAAGGGAGGCTTAAATAAAAATTAACAAAGAAATTCGAAGGGAATACAGACAAGATGATCTAGAAAGGAAATGCCAATAAATTGAAGATGATGACAGAAGGTATAATTATAGGGAAATGTACAGAAAAATTAAACAAACGAACCAGAGAAAATGGAAATGAATGGGTTAGGACAATTAAAGGCAGGAACAATAAGATTCTGTTTGGGGCAAAAGAAATATAAGATAGATGGGCAGAGTACGTAGAAGAACTATACAATGATAAGGATAAAGTAGAGGTAAGAAATGAAAAGGAAAAAAAATCAAAATGCCAATTCCGGAAACAGAAGACATAAGTTGAGGCTGTTGGAGCAAAATAATAAATTATAAATCTTGTGGGGTTGATCACCTCCCAGCAGAATTTAGCAAACAAATGGAATCCATAGCTAAGGTTGAAGGAATCTTTAAGAATTGCCAAAGCAGCGGCCTCCCTAGCTTTTCCTCAAATCGAATACAGACGCTCTGTATGATCCCAGTATTCGGTGCTGTTGTATCGAATCCCATGCCACTAATAAGAACATAAGAACATAAGAAAATAAGGAGTCTGCAATAGGCCGGTTCGCCTGTGCATGGCAGCTCCTGTCGAGAGTTACTTCCACTCTCTATCATCCATGAATGTATCTAGCCTCCTTTGGAAACTTTCCAGAGTTCCCGCACTTACTACAAAGTTGCTAAGCTTGTTCCACTCGTCCACCACCCTATTTGTGAACCAGTTTCTTCCTATCTCCCTCCTAAACCTAAACTTATCCAACTTGAATCCGTTGCTCCGAGTCCTATCCTACTCGGATATTATAAGAACTTTATATCCCCTTTATTGATTCCTTTCACCCACTTAAATACTTCTAGCATATCTCCCCGCACTCTTCGTCTTTCTAGGGAATGCAAGTTAAGTTTCTTTAACCTATCCTGATATGGAAGGTTTCCAAGTCCCGGAATCATTTTTGTCATTCTTCGCTGCACCGACTCTAGTGAATTTATATCCATTCTATAATAGGGGCACCAGAACTGAACCGCATAATCGAGGTGCGGCCTGACTAGCGCAAGATATAGTTGCAATAAGACTTCTGCACTCTTGTTACTTACACTTCTAGATATAAAATCCAATACTCTGTTTGCCTTATTTCGAACATTAACTCACCGTTTTCTAGGCCGTAGGTCCGGGCTTACAAGTACCCCTAGGTCTCTTTCACAAGTCGACTTCTCTAGGTTGATGTTGTTAAGGCTGTATACATTATAAGTGTTTGTTCTTCCAATATTAAGTACGCTGCACTTGCTGGTGTTGAATTTCATTTGCCATTTTTCAGACCATCCCTGTAGTTTATTTAGATCCTCCTGTAATGCATTTGTGTCCTGCCCTAATTCTTGGTTCCACTCCACCTCCTCTGACTCCCTTCATGACAGTTACAGCTACCTGTTCCCCAGTGCCGTCAGTAGCAGCAGAAACTCCCAGAAGTTCTTCAGTATCCTCTTCGGTTACCAATGAGGGAAATGGGTGTAATTTGCCCATTTTACATTAGGCATCGGTATTAAAGCTTACATATTGTGCAACTCCCTAAATATTGACCAATTTGGATAAAATTTGCTTGTTAATTACATCAAGTGGAACTCGGGTAACTTGTACTTGTTCACTCATAGAAAAAAGTGTTTTAGAAACACCATAAAGAACAATTGTATAACTTGGGGTAACAAATCATCCATTAGTTTCAGTTAAAGATTTATTCATGGTCGACATACCAGGAATTTATAAAATGATTTCATGTAATTTTGGCAGCCATCCTGTTTTTATTTTGGTAGTTCTTAACTTTCTTAGGTAAACATCGCTTATTTTCCATAGCCATAAGAACGGCTACCAAAGTTTCTACCACCAATTGAGGATCCAACGAATCTCCCGGAGGACGCACCACCACGACCTCCGTGGGATCCTCCGAGACTGCCGCCGAAGGAGCCGAAGCCATTGCCTCCACTGGAGAAACCGTGTGAACCACCACCGAAGCTGCTACCTCCACTGGAGAAACCTCTGTGTGAGCCACCGCCGTAGAAGCCAGCTCCACTGGAGAAACCTCTACCTCCGCTGGGGAAGCTAGACTGTGCGTGGATGATAGAGCCGCCGCCGAGACCACCCTGACCCCCAAATCCTCGACCTAAACTTCCTCCATAGCGTCCACTGGAGATTCCTCCACCGGAAAATCCTCCTAAACCTCCTCCTCTGGAGAAAGTGTTGAATCCACCTGAAGAGCCACCTCCATGGTGGCCTCCGTCTCCTCTACAGGACCCCAACAGGAGGGCAGCAGCACTCACGGTGATCAGCAGCAGCTTCTGCCAAACAAAAAATATAAACATATAAAACACAAGAAACACTTACACTATCACATTTAACACAGTTGTAAAGTTTAATTAAAGGTATGCAATAGCAAGATAAGGTATCAGCCATATGAGCCCAGAGATAAAGAACATAACAGTAATTTAGCCACATGCGAGCAGTGGACACTTTGTTA